TCCCCCCCCCCCCCCCCCCTCCCCCCAATGTGAAAAAAAAAAGTATTGGGGCAAGTGGCATGACAATGCGTCTACAAATTGTATCCAATCTTGATCACACTTTTAATGTAGTAGGGCAAAGAAAGCTTCAAAGCAAGCAAGCTGAGAGAGAGAGACTAGAGAGTAGAACATGCAAGTGGAGAATAAATTCATACCAAAGCACGAATTATTTACTTAAGTTAACTTGGCAAAAAGGCATGGTTATCATCAAAAAGCTAGCCAGAGTTGTTCGTTTTGTACAGATTGACACAAGCATTGTTGAAGGGGTAGGTACCAGATTACCACAATTTGTTTCACAAGCTTCGAGCAACCCTTTCGTACAAATCACGAGGCCAATTCCTATTCAGATTGTTCGCTAGAAAATTTGCAATCTGCAGAGGTCAAAAATATTCCTCCATCATGAAATAGAAATCGTAAAAGTCAGTCTTATTTCCCTAAAAGCAGACCATATGTTTATTCTCAGGAATCAATTCATCCATACAAAACAAGGGTCACTAATTGCTTGATAGCTAATCCAATAACGGTTCAATGATGCAGTTGATAAAAAACTACCAAAAGACCAGGGATGAAAATTAAAAACATCATAATTATCAGGCAATAGGACAGCTAATGCAAAACAAAACACAAATCTGTTATTGGACACCACCTAAGTGCATAACTGATCATCATTTCTAAATGTGCGGTTGATACTTCAGTAATTGTTGTTAAATTCAACCAGTCTCTTCAGAACACCATTTTCTAATAGCCATTTAAATATATGCATCCCCAAGTAACAAATATTAAAAGAACAGGCAGCCAACAACAAAATCATCAAACAATATCCATCATAATTAATGTGTATAACGTGCATAATTGTCCATGTCATTGCGCAGGAAATGTGATTTCATCAATCTGCCAAGAGAGCACTAAACCCACCAACAGCATCTGTTGTAAGATAATAATCCAGTGTATTTCTGAAAATTTAGAGCCCAATGGCATTCAAACTGCCCACCCTTTGAAAATGGATTATGAATCCCAAGAAGAACCAACCAGAAATATGATCAAATTGGAAGCGCATTGCTGTAAGATCATCAAAGGCTTTCAACAAGCCTTCATCCTTCATTTTTACTTTTCTACCCCCAATAATCTATTTGTGCCAACCAATAGAGCACAAATGCAGTAGTACTGGCTTCCTTGGTTGATTTTAAGGCTTCAACACAATTAATTGAAGTGGTGGACTGTCAAGTGTTGTTCTATAGAGTGAAAGTAAGGGGAAATTATAGTTGGGATGAGATTAACTATATGTACTGGTAGGGTGGTTCTAGGGTGGAGAGGGGATTAGTTAATGGTTGTGGAGGTGTCGGATGCCATGAGGATGGTGGAGGGTTTTGCTGGAAAGTGAATTGAGTGATGGTAGAGTAAGAGCTTTATCAAAGGAGATGGAATTTCACATAATAATGTGACACTTTAACTAACCCATCCATTCCATCAGTTAGTTAGGCCCATATGAAAGGTCAGGGCCTGGGATGAAAGTTACACCTGAAATTACATGGGTCAACCCAAATCCACCCCTAAATTGAGAGGACAATATGATAATTAATCCCTAAACATTAATTTGTTGGCTTTTCAATTTTTGGTTGTCCACAAAATCTGTTCGATCCCCCCCTCCCCACACACATTTGCAATTAGCAAGAAGAGATCTCAGGTAATAGTGGTTTTTGCTTGACAACTTTGCTTCAGGTATATGAACTCAATTTGACTAAACTTAATCCCAACTCTCTAGATCAACCACATGAATCTGTCATGTCTAGTCTGTTTATACACAAAACCTTATACCTCAATATTTGAAAACAAAGTTATTACTTCAACATATTCTCCATCACGGATGGAGAAGGAGAAAAGGGCTTTTGGCGGGATGGGGAATCAATCAGATGGAAGAGGCTTAAAATAGAATCCAGATTGTACTACATAAATTATGTCCAATGCAATGGCTAATATTTAAGTTAAAATCAGTGGCATGGATTTTCTGCTTGACTCAAACAATTTATAAAGCTAGCATCAAGTACATTGACCATTGAAGGTATGAATTTTATCATTTCCCAAGCACAACCAATACTTTAGTTCCTCTACATACTAACCCTGCCAATGATGAAGGAGAATATCAAATATTATTCTAAAAATAATTACCAATAATACTCTAACAAGCATTTCTGCATCCAGTCCTTATTCCTTTACAAACATTATTGTTCTGGTGATGATAAAAATCTCAATGTGAAATCCAGAAGTGATAACAAGCAGAGGTCGACAGCAACCCTGGAGTATCAGAGGTATCAGAGGCATTGCCAGGAAGAGGTTTTGATGCCTAAAAATGATTGAATAACCTAGGCATGACGGTCAAGACAAAATTAACAAAGGAATGTTGATAATTAAAGGAGATTGATTTACCGATAAAATTAAAGGAGATTGTATGAACTGAAAATTAACAATAGTCAATGGTGCTAAAGGATAAATTATGAGAAAAAAGTAGTGATTCTATATCCGCTCCTACAACTCGAATTTGATGACTATGCAACATATTGCTAATTGTTTCTGTTTTTTTCACTAAAAAGAAAATATTTGATCAACTGAAGAGGTAAAAAAAAGAGTGAAAAACATAGGGTGTCACTTCATTGGGAAGAAGAAATGAAAATAAATACAACCCAAAAGAAGCTAATCTTGCGTGAAGCTAGCTCACCCCGCTTTTGATCAAACCATCTTCTAAGAGTCCAAATCAAACATATCGGAGTTTTAGTTCACAAGCTACGAAAGTTTACTTCAAATTAGTAGAGCAACGAATATATCAATGCTTAATGACAGTAAACATGCCTAAGTATATATTCTTTCTTTGTACACCATCAGCTCACAAATGCAGAGAAGTGAATAATAAAGAGAATTTTAAACATGGAACCAAGTTAATTAAATGGGTCCCTTGAGCATGAATATATATCAAAAGTACGTCTTCATTCTTCAACCTATTTGGTAAAAAGACACGGCCTGTGTCACATATTAAAATCAATCAAGCTCATCCCAGCAGAGTGAATTTGGTAGTTTTCACAGGTGACAAATGTTAACTGGCCATCATGAAATTACCAAGAATAATACACATTAGCCATTTTGATTCCAAGGGCAATACACAAGGAACGCATCGCATTTTACTCAAACATACACTACCCATTTTAAATAACAATAAGAAAACATTAAAAGCAAAAAGGCAGAAAATCAGACAACAGAAACATAAAATACACGAACATAAGCATCATAGCATACCTTTGTCCTCAAGGCACGAAGTGATCCGTCTGTATCTGTGACATTGTCCAAACAGTGAAGAGCAACCTTTAGAAGGTCAGGTACACAGGCTTGGACATGAGGAGAGAGATTCTGGAAAACATCAGTCGCAATATCGGGTGCTCGTGGATCTAAAGGAAGAAACGGAAGTTTGGCAATTTCTCTGAGAGCGTCTATATTATGGCCCAGCCGAGCCAACTTATAAATAGACAAAGTTGCCTCAAGCTGTCTTAACACAGTTTGTTGCTCCATAACATGCTCTCTCTCTTGAAGGCTGCACCATAGAATGAATTTTCCTCAAGTGTTTTTAGGTCAAGAAAAGAAGTGGAGAGAACTCGCAAAACTTCCAGAAATGATATAAGTACTAAAAAGCCAAAGGTATGTCTCTTCAATTGTTTGTTATATCAATGTTTTCCCAACTTCTGGTGTATCATGCAGTGGAAAATTTTCCAAGTCCCAGAAATCAATGAAACAGATACATACCCAAATGCCAAAACTGAATTAGTTATATAAACATCTTGAAAACTTGGGAATTCAGTGATAGCAACGAACTTGCCACGAATTACTAGCATAATACAAAAATATGTTTGAGCCAATAATACACAGACAGCTGCAAACTCTTTTTCATATTGTGTGTTCTCATTTTGCAACTTTATTTTGTATTAAATTATTTAGGCAAAAAAACAACTCAGGGCTTCCATAGAAATAAGGTTGGTAAATTGGTGGAGTAGATTTCAGCAGAATGAAACAATCCAGCGTCAAGCCATCAATTATAAAACAGGTGATAGTAATTCAAACATAATAATGGTTCAGCAGACCCACAAGGTAAAAAGGCAAGTTTTGAAATTACCTGATTTCAGGATAATATTTGAAGGTTTCCAAGATTTCATTTCCAGAATGAATGAGGCCAGCAGTCCGGCTCTCACCATCTAACTTACCACGAGATAAGGCACACATTGCTTCAGATAGGCACTTATTGATTGTATCCAATGCCATTGAAAATGCCCCAACTCTCTTCTGAATTTCTATAGACTGAATTTGGATGCAAAAGAATGAAAAAATACATTAGTTGGACACTGAACCAGCTACCAACATATAAAAGAAATATACATGGAGAACAAGAGAAAAGACAACAGCCACAGATTACATCATTACTAGGAAACACACCACTGGGAAAAAGGGATGGCAGCAAAAAAAAACTGTGAAATAAAGCCAGTGCTTGGGAGGATTTCACAGATTATCAAAAAATAATAGTCTTACATGTACACCAATCAATCAACCAAATAATTCTGCAGGAGGAAGACGAAATCCCCCGTTGGCATTTCTCCTAAATTTCTACCACACACGCTTGCACAAAGAGAGAGCATTCAAAGCCATAGTACAGAATACAGACACGCTGCAACAGTTATTTCACCTCAAGTTAAGTCACCTTACAAAGCCAACTTATAATTTGTCAAAGGATGAATGAAGAAAATAGAAGATCGCATTTAGCATCTCCTAAGGATCTTTTGGAATAATGCATAAAAAAATCAGACCGATAATAGATTCATAATAAAGGGGCGTCAGTGAAAACATTTTTGCATGTAACCTTTCACCATTCGGTGTTTTATAAGATGGGATGACTGCATAAGTTAGCAATTCAAGATGAGAAATTTACACTTAATTTGAGCTGATATAAATTGTATCAGAGGAATTCATGAGTTCAGTTAGTCGTAGTTGAAGAAAGTCTGCCAATCCTTATTTATGGATGAGGCCTTGTGCAAGGTGGACATAATGAACAGCCATTATGAGGGAGAGGATTTCGAGAGGACACGCACTGACAGGGTGGGGCTACTAATACCAGTTCAAAACATGATAGCGGTAAAAGGGGTATTTTTAGATGGATATGGGACGGTTTATAGACAAACGAAAGAATCATGCAATGGAAACCTATATGTAGTTCTAAGTTTGCAAAAGCCAGACTGAACTGAGGAGACAAAGACCACAAATAAGCTATTACTTTGTCATAAAGCCCAGTTTCCTGACACTGACGAGCAGCTTCAAGCAGAAATGATTGCCTTGTTTTTCCATCAGTCAAAAATCTCCCCAGTTCACCTTCTTCTCCAGCACCTCTTGGACCGAGTAAAAGATAAATCCCACCATCCCTTAATAATAGCTCTGTAAGGAGTTGTTTCAGCATCAAGGTTCTCTGCCTTTGCTGATCCACATTACCTCTCCCAGTCCAAGACGTCTGTCCACCACCCACTGCAGCAGCAGCTTGTGCATAATATTCCAATGCCATTGAAAGATTACCATGACGTAAGTAAACTGCCCCATACTGCCTGATTATGCTAGAGGCCTCTGCAAAACCATCTGATACCCCCAGTGTCAGTGCTGCTCCAGCACCTTCAGAAAGGACATCATGGTCCGCCAGCACAATTGCTATATGGACAGCATCTATGCTATATCCTTCGTTTCCCATATCCTTGGACAAATATAGTACTGCAGGTAGCAACTGTATGCTTAAAAGCAAAACATAAGGATACACAAGAGGGTCCTTTCCATTCTTGGTGTAATATGACGGCTCAAATTTATTTAGGTAAACCTGCAAATCATCCAAACTGTAAGGCATTGATCCTTCATTTACAACAGCAGAAGAGGATCCACCAGGACGGTCTCGTATAGCAGACAACTTGAACCACAAGAAATCCTCAATGGTATTAAAAAGTGTAGGTAGCTCTCTAAGCAGACGGTCTATCTGCCTGCGAGAACCAGATATGATAGCATACAGAAGCAACTTTTTCTTGTCATATGAAGCTCGACCCACTCGATCACCCATCCTCAGCATTTTTTCACATTCTTCTGAAGCAGCACCCGCAGTCTCTTCTGATACCATACCTCCAGTTGCAATCCACTCTGTAAGCTGTCAAGATAGATAGAGAATAATTCAGGACCAAGGAAAGATATAAATGTACAAGAAGTGAATTGTCAATACCTGAGGAGCAAATTGTTGTGAAACACGAGATGATAAGGCAACATTTCTTGCTTCATCATAATATCCAGTTCTCAAGCAAAAATATATCTGTTGTAACAGAGAAGGACGGGGTCAGTTTGAACCACAAAATTGCCCACATAAATAATTAATTAGCTACCACTGAACAGAACACAAATAGATTTTGATATCCTACTCATAGACAACCGAACGGTTCAAGAAAAAATAAAGAAGGAAGTCGATTAGGCAATCTTCGACTTGTGCTTTCAATCGTGCTTACCTGGTCTACAGTAAAATAAACAAGTAAAAAAGGCCATAATCTGCCAACTGCCTAATCTAAATTCATTTGTGCTTTCAGTGGTGCTCCCCTTGTTTACAAGCAAGCAAACCCATCGTCTCAAACAAATTATTTTCTCCGACATTTCTTTCAAACACTCAACTTTGATACAAAAGCAAGGCTCAGGGAAGAAGAAAATAGCAATCCAAAGGGCGTTGCCTTAGAAGATTAAAGCCAACGAAAAATAGACTTAGATGGTGAACATGTTCCAACTGAATGCATGTAATTTCCCACTGACACAGAAAGTCTTCAAAAAAGATGAGGGCAAGAAAAAATATCATATATACAACATGCCATCACGACACAAAAAACAGGAAAGTGAGAGCATTACTATTAGTATACTACCAGTCATGTAAAGTTTACAAACACTGTATGAACAAGGATATAAGAGGAAAACTTCTTTGAAACAGCGCTAATCAGAGCACATGGATTCTCGCCAAGGTTTATAACTGAAGCATGCTATACCACTTTACTTTTCTCCTCTCTATTTTCAAATACAGACATGATATGCCTCAAAGGTAGTGCAGCGAGCACTTTCAAAGCTTCAAAAAAAGAAGAATGGATTGAACTGCATGCATGGTTTCAAACAGAATACAATTGTAAGTGTCTTAGTACCAAATAAAGGTAGATGCAAGCTTGCTCGTTGGCTTACATTCATTATGACATCTAACAACCAACAATTTGATTGACACAAACCACAATTGGCCCCTAAGGCTTGAATGGAAACAATGCAAGTGAAAAAAAAATTCCTTTTTGTGGTAAGATAATGGTAGAAAAGATTATGAAATCAGAAGGTATTTAAAGAACCTGCTGCCAAGTCGTATCAACAGGAGGCTGCCGACGAGCATCACCCGCATCAAAATCAAGAACCCCATAATCCCTTAAACGAATCTGCACAGAGCAGAATATTAGCAGAAGAGAAGAATAAATAATCCTCGAATAATAGGCCTACTTGGTTGCATAATCCGATTCTTAATGACTAATTAAAAGAAGTGCTAACAAACCCGAAGGAAGGCACGAATTCGCTGAATATTTCCAACCGCCCCACCAAGAGCAGCCTGTAAGAACCATCAGAAAACCAGGAAATCCTAGATATATCATTTTTCAAATATTCCACAGCAATCAAAAAACAGCCCATAAAAGCTAGTTTATAAGGCATGATGGCAAAGAAACTCCTTTCATTGTCAGAGAAAATAATTAGATGCTAATAACAGACATTAAAAACAATATTTTACCTGTGCGGGATGACTTTGTATGGTATCTAAGATATGTTTCTCATGTCCCCATTCAAGGTGGCGCCTTGCACCCAATACTAAATACATTTTTTTTGACACACCATGTTGAACACTTGAATTCTCGCCCGTCAAGGTCTGTCAATATGTTCAACATATCCACAAATAAATGCAAGATGAACTTCACAAAAAGAATCACGATAATTGCAATTGCAAAGCAGCATTTAAGTTTTAGCAGATACAAATAATAGGAATAAGGTGTAACGAAGTACACCTGAATTAGGTTCCATATCTTCTGCATGCTAACTGATTTCCCACCAGATGTGTCGAGCCCCAAACTTTCATAAGCACCCTTAAAAGATGTTGCAGGCTAACAAGAAGAAATGAAACAGCATACATGTCACATACAGTATTAGTAAGATGAATATAAAGCACAGATATAAACATCAATACGGAATCAAAAAGGGTAGACAATATTATATATCAGCATATATAAAGTGGAGCACCACTAAATGTGAGCAAAACTTCCCATATACCACCCAAATGACAGCACAACTCAAAGTGTTGAAACTTTTATAGATTGTAAAAATTGACAGGTTATTCTTTCATCAAACTAATGCCTGCAGCCTTAAAAAAGGGGGACATTAATAAACACAGAAAAGAGTATCTGAAAATGCAGAAAGAACATCAAGTTATGAACAAAGAACGTGCATCCGCTTGTCAACTCTCGGTGGAATACTCACTTTAAATGGCAAGACACGCTCTCTTGCATTGTTGATATTCTTCACAACTTCACCATAGGCTGTAGCTTTTTTCTCAAGGATGGGTTTGTTAGCAAGAGGTGCAAGCTCCATGCTAGATGGACTAGATGAAACCTGCTGACTAGAAGTCACAGCAATTATTTGACCTGAGCGAGCACCTCCAGTGCCCGCATCACCTATGTTAGTCCTAGGAAGTGTAGAAACTCGACTCAGGCTATGGAGGAAATCCCGTTTTTCCTTTTGCCAATCCTCCTGCCACAATGAATCCCTCATGGCAATCAGGCTAAAAGCACACAATAACAAAATATGCAACTTTCACAGATTTGTTTAACACGACATCAAAACTCCACCTTTTAGGTAACATATAGATAATCCTTCATAGTATTTACAAATGAGGGCAATACAAACTATAAAATATAAGTTTTTGCTCTTTTTGCTCAAGGGAACCCCAGCAGACTTGCAAATGCAAAGCATCCCAGGTTTATTAAATTTCTTTTACACAGCCAATGATGATAATAAAAGAATTGAAGTTCACATGGTGCTCCAAACACGTTTGACAAAAAGTGATTAAACTTGCAATATATAGAAGCACAGAGAAACTAGAAAATTTATGGCAAAAATACAACATTGTGGCACACTAACCTGCAGAACTGACATCATATAGTCGTTAAAACTTCTAAGGTTATCCTTCTGAGCTTCCTGAACAGCTGAGACAATTGCCATCTCATGGACCTGAGGTGCACACATAGCAATTCATTCTAATCAGTCCAACACAGTCCAACCAACTTTTATGCTTAGGAAGCAAAAGTATGAGCATATATATATCAATAGCTGTTGAATGCATTGTAAGATACACAACATGTGGTACATCCAATTAAATTGCAGATGGGACTAAAGCAACACCCAGCACTCTGTAACCACCGTCATGAATGTCATACTAATTCATGAGAATTTACTAGGATTTGCAAAGCACTAATAACAACAGTTTGATGACACTAATATTTTTAGTAAAACGAACCCAGCTCCAGATATGTGAATGTTTCAATAGACAAAACATCACTTCAACAAGGTAGAATATTGGCTTTCTCAATCAAAAAAAAAAAAGGTAGTCTATTGAATTTACAGTTGAGATCATAAAGTAGAGATCTATTGTTGTAAACATATAAACATACAGGAATGCACAACGTGCGTTACACGTGAATATATTTAAATAATACTTTCTTTATAAAAAATTTAAATTATGTGTAATTAAATTGCATAATAAATTAAGTAGTTTTAATTAATTTATATTTTAATTATTGACAAACCTAATTATTGATCTATTCTATCCCTCATCGAGTATCTAATCTGTTATTTGTTTAGGTATCTCTCCAACACCTTACATATTTCCTCTTTTGTTTAAAATAAATCTTTATTGTAACATTGTCATTATTGAGTATTTGCATATCTAATTATATTATAAATTTATTACAATTTTTTTCAAAGAAATTGATTAAATTGCAATACTATTGTTTGTATTATAATAATATGATATTGTTATATACCAAAAAATCCACTATAACATATATTGGAACGTAGAATTGAATATAGATTGGACTTTATTTTGTCATATAAATAAAGACATAGATACAGAAAATTGTATGCAAGTATACTACTAATAAATGGGTCAAAAAGAATTTAAAAATCATATACAATTAATAAAAGAGTTTAAAAAAACTTAAAAGTCAAATAAGTATATGAAATAAAAATTGAATGAAAGTAATATAGAATTTAGAAGTCAACTATTTTTAATAAAAGAGTTCAAAAAATTTAGAAGTCAAATAGGTATAGAAAATAAAAATTAGAGGAAACTAATATATGGGCATCATTGACTTTATAATAAAAATTAGGAATAAAATAGAAAATCAAAAATTTTTTACATATGGTGACATGACATTTATAAGTATAGATATAGATAGATAGATAGATAGATAGATAGATATGCCATAAAAAGCCTTGTCACAGCTGGGTTTTATCAAACTTAGCCCATACTATGTCCCGGAAAGAAAGTGATTGGCAAACAAAAATGAAGGCGTATAGAGGGTGTAGAATGTACTGCATCAAAAAAAGCAACCATGCATCCATATCCAGCTGAAGTAAAAACAAAAGATTAGTATGATGACACATTACGACAATTATAAATACTTTTTTTTAAATCGGTAAAAAACATTAGTTTTATTTAATAAAGAAAAATCCAATACGTGACGGCAGTGCAGTCCCCCCTTAAAAGTTCCAAAACAGGAAGCTAAACAATTAACAAACAGATTGCATCTCACAAACAGCTCTTCATTCTTTTCCACAATAGAAATCCATCAAACCCAGGTGAAATCAAAAACCAAAAAGAAGCCAAGAACTGAAATATTTCCCACAGCTCAATCTCTTCTTCAAGCTCATCTCCAAATGCTAGCATTCCTTGCTAACCATAGAACCCAAACAATGCCAGCACCACACTTTTCCAAAGAGACGACTGTGCTTTCCTGATCTTCCCAAAGCCCCAAAAATCACTTCCAAACATAAATTCACAAGCACATGGTGAAACCAAACACAAATTCATCAATAAAAATAGTCTTCTCCATAACAACAGAGCAACCAGAAAATGTAGAAATAAATGATACATAGTCTCCTCACTCTGCCTACACATAATACAGCATTATGGCAGAAGTAACCAATGAGGAATTCTTCTCTGAAATGAATCATTACTATTGAGTTTATTAAGAGCATCAGGCATTAATGTAACCATATACATCTGCAAAATTAAAGACTTTTCCCCAATATGGGTCCCATTGATCTAGTGTGCCGTGAGGAGCGGACTGGCTACTGATCGGACCACCAACTTTATTTGAATTAAAGCACTCACAAATACAAAACCCAAAAAAATAAGAACGAGCCCTTATCTCTTCCATCAAGTTGATTATTGGCATTGATCTCCCATCCAAATTCTCACCATAAATTCAAGAATAAATCTGGCCCTATAAGGATTTTTGTAGTGGATAGGCATAGCTCAAAAGGTTTCTCCATGAATACAATATTGTCTGCAAGTTGAAGATAGAATATAAGGCCCCATCTCTAATCATCAATGCGTCAAGGAAATCAGCAACAAGCAATAACAAAATGGGGAAACGTTATCTCCTTATCCAAACCCATCATAAAGTATTGTCAGGGGTAGTCTCATTGAGTCCTATTAGCAAACATAGATAAATAAGAAAACGAACACATTCTTCAATACAAATCTCAATTTTCCACTTGACCTTTCATTTTCATGGAGTATCCAAGGACCCTGAGTCAACAATCAACATGATCATGAGCTTTCTCCAAATCGACATTAAGCACTAAAGCTGTTTGCTAAAGCCACCTAACACCACACCCTCATTACAAGTGAAAACATATATCAGTGTTATGCCTCTCCCAAGTCCCAACAAAGGCAACTTGATAAAAATAAATGGTTTCAAAACCTTCCTTATAAAACTTCAAAGGAATTCCAATAATAATATCATAAAAGAGTGGAATCATAAGCAAGCGTCATTGATTTACAAGACACTACAAAGATTATTCCTTCTAATTTAAGCATCAATATTTTAAACTTCCTTTAGCATGGATTTCTCATAATTTCTAATGACACAAAAAAAATTCAAAAGAATTACAACCAATAAATTGGGCATTCTGAAATATGCCAATAACAAGATTTAAGGCACGAACAGTTCAACCTTATGTAATGACCTGAAATTACCTGTTGTAAATACTCCTCTACGCTTGTTGCCTCGGCAGGGAAAACATCCTCAAAAGTTGTCTTGAAGAAGAAAGATTATTATTCAGAAAATACTACAAGGTAATATTACAGCTAAGGATAAATGCAAACATGAAAGCAGCATTACTTCTCAGCATTTGAGAAATAGAAGGCAAACCATGCATTACTTCTCATTGCAGTGCAATGAAGAGCAGGAATTTGATATTCTCACACCATGTCAGCAATCTCGGACACAAGAAATGTTCAACTAGCACATTCTTCAGTTTACGGGTACTCCAGTAGCTATTCTACCCTAAATATTAAACAGATTTGCAAAATGAAATTTATCATATTAAAACCAGACTACTTAGAATTCTATATCTCAACCCATTTCATACATTGGTTTTATACCCAAAACTTTCATCCAACAAAAAGAGCAGTTATTTGCATGGGCATAGGACTCAATAGATTCAACCTTTCTGTTTAAAGCTAAAGAACTACCGAGCTAATTCAACCTTAGAACATGTACTCACTTAACAACTGAGAAATTGTGTCATAAAGTTTTTCTCAAATACTAAATGCATGCTTTTTGTCCTAGTCTTTCTATAGTTTCTCAAATGTTCACCTGTTATCAAATTTAAATGCCACAAGAACCAAGGCAGCTCATTTGCATACAAATTCTTAAATATTTTTTTCCAGTTTCGTCGAATTTGTGTTTGTAAGCACAACATCAAATGCACCATCAATGACTAGAAATTACACAGGAGATGGAGGGGGGAGGAGAGGGAGAGAGAAGCTTAATACTTAACTAATGTGCAGTGAGTATGGTGAAGCCACTTGTTGCTACTTATTACTCACCTAATTCCAAAATTACACTCTAGAAAGGTGTAACAATAAAACTATAACATAGCGTTGTTTTGGAAATATGTTCAATCTAATGTATCACTATTAAATCCCTCTTTTGTTTGAAGAGTAAGATTGTTCCCATAACATAAGGATGCTAAAAGAAGTACGGAACACTAGTACGCAAGTAGTAAAGAGAATCTTGTGGGTATTGATTGAATGAGGGCCATAGAAACATAATAACTGCCTACTCTTTAAGCCCTCACATTAGATGCATAAAATGAAAGCTCTTTGTTCCCAAGGACTTCACAAAAGTCCTATCAAATTCTTTCATTCTATATTCTAGTTGAATAAAATCACATAGTCCCATGGTACATGTTCATACACTTTGCAATAAACTACTAAATAGAGCAAACTCTTGAATAAATTTTAGCATAGTAAGCAAAATATGCCAAACCAGAATACGTAATCATGCAACACATTGAAGGTAAAAGAGAATTCTACCTTTAACTCAAATGACTTAAGATCACGAGCAAGCTGCTCTGCATTTATCCCCTCACGAGCTAGTAGCCTGTAAATGCAAAAGAACCAAAAAGTAGTATCAGTAAAAATCTAACGAAGATCATCAGGCCCTCATGGTCAATAATGGTCTATTTCGTTACTGAGCAACCCTCAGATTAAAACCAAAGAAAAATAAATATTGAAATTGAACCACCAGAGCTAATGCTTTAAAAGACACCACTTTCTAATTTGATTTCCTATGTTTTCTTGGCAACCAAACATCCATCTATACATCTATTCTATTGTATAAAGACTCAAATTGGTCGAAAGGGGGCCTTTGAACCCTTCCTTCTCCATTTCCTACTTTAATTATGAACTATTTATGATAAAAAATGATTTCATCTAATAAACATCTAAGACTTGGCCTATATAGCCACTCTTCCATTATCTCACCACAAATAAGAGGATTAGACCTTACAACTGTATTAGAGATGATTCATTCTCTCTAGTGAGTGTAGTGAAGGACTCTCGGCTCACCTGCCCGATTGACTTATGGCATCATCAATTTGCTCTTCAATCTAAGCAATTTCATAACCAAAAAAAAATACCTCTCTTTTAGGATCAGTCTCGTCCCTAAATGTAGTAGTCAATCAACGGGACATTCAAAGAAGCTATGCACCTTCACTGAATGTTAATGAAAGAAATCCCTTTCATTCTAATCTCATCTACTAAAAAATGGATCGGGCTCCCCCATGCAACTTGCCTTTCCTCCTTACCAAAGATAAATGCGATCCTCTTTCCTTGTTTACTATCCACTCTTCCACTATCTCACCGATTAACAACTACTTTTTAAAAAAATTTCCAAAAAAATATGAAGATTTTATCCCTACAACTTCCCATGATACTTTACCTTCCCAAATAGTTAGGATGGGAAAGAGTAAGGGTATATAATGAAGAAGTGGGATAGATAGGCAAAGGAGGGAGGTTATAAATCCCATGCATTGCACAAATCTGTCATCAATGTGGATGTGGATGTGTGTGTGTGTGTATACATATGAATCAAAATATATGAGAAAGCCACCCTTCCCTCTCTAAATACTTAATCCTAAAGTTTCGATTATTTTATAGAAAAATCATTGGGTTCCTCTAATTAAATTATGTCATGCAGCCTATATGTAACCATTCCCACCATCTTTGCCAACTTATCCACGTGTAAATTTTTTTTAAAATAAAAGCAGTTCAGCACACAAATGGTTAATTTTTCAACAATGCTAATGTTGGAGTGAGGAAGAGATTGTAAAGTGCACTGAATGGGTCGCCGTTATTCTCACAGTATAACAAGAACAAAATGATTGCAGTTCTTACTGAGAAAGTTTATACTCATAATCCAATATACATAGAAGCTGAGAGAGAGACCTTGTGGCGGCAATAGATTGAGATGGAGCTTCTGCCCTAAGGGTTTTCGCCTTGAGCTTTTTTGACAATGCTTCTAATTGATCCAAGTTCCTCTGAAATTACAAGAAAAACTAACTAAAATAACTAGGTGAATTCAAAACTTTAAAAATCAGAAAAAGGGTAATGAGGAAAGAGAGCCAAATTAAACTTGCAAACCACTAGATTCTACTCGGCAATATACAACTGCTAACCCCATGTTAGACTAACATTTGAACTTGAGTAACACATAAGGACGAAGAAAACTAAAATTCGAGAACTTTATTTTTCACTATTTTCCTAGTTTAGCTGAATTTTGTCAGGAACCAAACAGAGTGAGCAAGGACGACTGAGAAGTGTGAACCTGAAGAGGAGGGAACTGAGCAGAAGGAGCGGCTTGTTCGACAAGCTTCGAAGACGAATGGAGAAGGTGGGTCCAGCTACTCATGTCTGCGTCGCTCGCCATTCTCGGCAACTATGGAGTTCGAATGCTCACCGGGCAGTGAGCAAAAACCAACATACACAACTGCGAGAGCAAGCGAGCGAGTGTTTTGGAGCTTAAAAAGCCCTAATTTTTTAGCGGTAAAGCATTGCATAGATTTGGGTAATTTCACAAACGTCCCCTACTATTTTGTAAATTTGAAAAAACTCCAGCTTTGGTACTTTACACAAACATCATTTCACTGATTGGTTTTGGTTTTCAGTTATTAATAATTGACCGAAACAACTATATTCCAATTGTGAAACAATAAAATAAAGTCTTTATGCTATTATATTTAATGATGCACAAAAGTGATTTATGTAATATCAATTGAGGATGAAGGAAATAAGGCACAATACAAGCAAAGATTAAGTGGCTCAGTTTGAGTGATCTATTCTACTGAAAATGGCTACGGTGACCGAAAAATCTTATTACTCAAGAGATATGGTGTACTGAGATGAGTATGATGTCCCCCAAGTGGGTGGTTTACAATTTATAGGCAAACAAGATTTCACAAGGGCTCTGAAAGATCCTTAATTTAAGGTGTCATCCTTATAACTAATTCTTTGAAGCTTGTCTTATCTCGTAGTGGACGAGATCATCTCGCGAAATTGGTAATATGCCCCTGATGACTGCGTCACCACGAATTCTCTCTCATGTTAGTTGTAGACTGAGTCTCTCAAAATGGTAAGGTCAACCCAACTGAGCTTCCTTAATCCTATAGTAAGCTTGGTATGTATATTTAAGTTAAGATTGGTCTATATCTTTAATCTGAGCCTAATCTGAATCAGGTCTGTCAATATTCTTAAATATTTCGGAAATAATTAAAAAATCTATTGGGATGTTCTAAGTGAAATTTGTCAAAGAAACAAAAATCATCAAATATATGGACACTGGAGAGATTTTTAAAAATTATAATTTTAGTTGATATTCAATTATTGAACTTAATTTTGAATTATTGGATCTAGAATTTAATAAACATAATTCTGTAACTAGAAAAATTATTAATGTATACTAAAATACAACTTTCTAATGTCAAAAATCAGAGTAGTGTAAAATTAATAACCATAGTTGAAAGTACTCTTTGAGAGATTTAATACGGGATGGGATGGGATGGTTTGAAATCAATAATCACAACTAAAGATTTAATTATAGTTAAGAGGACAATATGAAATAGAAGCATATTTTGAGGCAATGGAGAAAAATGGTTGCTCCACTTAACCCCCAACCAGTTACTCGACTGTTCAAACAACAATGGATATCTTTGATGGACCCAATAGGTGTTGCACCACTCTACTCGGCCCTGCCCTGTCCACTGACCATTGGAATTTGGGCCCAATGAAGATAAGTCATCCACTATTTCCAACAAAATGGATTGGAGGTTTTTTGTTATTTTTTTTTTGGGGAGGGGGGGGGGGAG